ATACGATCTAATTCATCTTTCTAATTAACGTCAAAATGAGTCATCAAAAAATCAGCGAAAAGTAAAGAAAACAGATATATATATATATCTGTATACACAGATTTGTATATATATAAGTATAAATCATACGCAATGTATTTATTGAAATGATAGATATATCGCAGATTATGAAAGCATACAACAGTAAAATTGTGCACTGAAATCAAAATGTAAATTTGATCTTGATAAGATGCCAGTCATTACATTTGATACGATCTAATTCATCTTTCTAATTAACGTCAAAATGAGTCATCAAAAATCAGCGAAGAGTAAAGAAAACAAAACATATAATAAAATAATAGGAATCATTTGTTGAAACAGCAAATGTTCACTAAAATTTGTTCAAAAAATTAAAGAAAAGAATTTTATTTTTAAAATTTTAGCAAAGACACTTCGTGTGCAATAATGTGCAAAAAAAAATAGCGAAATAGAGATCGATTGATTTTAAAAAAGAAGATTGAAAAATTCATATGTTTATGAATTACGTTTATCCTTAATTGTAGATTACCAATAATTAACTTTCTCCAATTAACCGTTAGTCTAAGAAGTAATAAAATCGAAAATTGATAATTATAATATTCTGCAGTGAAAACAGATAAAATAAATAATCTTGAAATACTAATTCAAGTAATTTAAAAATACGTAATACATGAAAGAAGAATCTAAAATGCGTAATCGTTTGTTAAAAATAAATAATTTTTTCTACAAAAGATAAATTAAGATGAGTCAATAGCCATTAATTCCGAGAAATCTGTAATCTGAAATCGGTAATCTGAATTTAAAAATCGAAAATTTTTGATATTATTAAGTCTTATATTATCTCTACCGAAAATTAAAAGATATCAATTTCTTAAAGTTCTCTGCTGTCGTCTATTTATAATATATCGTAAATTCAAGAAAAAAATATAAAAGGTTTTAAAACATATTTTACAATATCGAAAATATTTAATATTTATTTAGAATACTTTCTACTATAGAATCTTTGCGAATTTATTTATTTTTATTTAATTACGTATTTTTTAAGATTCTTTTTCAACGTTTTTCAATTTTTTTTCTTAGATTTTTCTTAAAATTTATCCTTATTCTAGCAATTCCATGAATCTGATTTCTTCTCAGATTTAATATTTTAATCATAGTCACCACTTCTTTGGATTTTAACTAAAAACTAATTTCTTTCGAATGAATCGCGGATGTTTCAGCAAGTAGAAACATTTTTGGCAAATCCTTCATTTTAATTTTTTTTTTCTCAAAACTGAATGACAGTAATGATGATTTTGATGTTTTCTGATTTAGAGAAAGAATTTTTAGCGATAGATTTTATTTTCATTATAGAATATGTTAACAAGATATTAAAATATGTGGATAAACAAAGCAAATTATAGTACACAACGTTCCCACTTGTTTTTCTTTTTGCGGGAAATTGATCTCTAAAACACTAATTTAACAATTAATTTTAAACAGTATATTTTCAATAGGAAACTTTGCGTAATCGTAACTACACGAAACAGGATACGAAAATTGGAACGGAAATTGCGGGAAATTCTAAAATCAACTCGCGTGCTATGTTGCAGCGTCTATTGCATATTCATAAGGCATAGCTGAACATGCAATCTCAATCGTGCATGTCCAAGAAAAATAAGGAAAAAAAAGGAAGAGAAAGGAAAATTTCTCGACGCGACTTTTGATCGTTTCACATGTATGTGTTGTTTTCTTCGACAGCGCGCAAACATATGTTGCGAAATTCGTATAGAAAAATCAAATATTTCTGACCTGCATTTTTCCTTGCAAATTTCTAGAGATCTCCCGATGTCCCGATTGCGATCAGCGAATATTTGATCCGACGATGTATCCGTCTCGCGAATGCCTATTTCGAATGGAGCGTTCCCGGCCGACGGCAGATCCTTTTTCACAAATTGATTCACCGAATTCCAGATGAAGCTGGATGCGTGGATATGCATAAGTCACGCGATAGCACCGATCCAACATCCAACTACACCCATAATTCGCGACAGCTCGCTGACGCACACTGACAGACTCGAAGTGACCGCGTCACCGTTTACTGTTGTCGTCGGCGCCGTCGTGATTCAACCATCGCTTGTGAAAGAGTGCCGGTGTGCAGAGGGGAGGCTCCCCACCCTCTCCCATTAAACAGTTGCGGCATTCCTTATTCGAAATCGGTATTGAAGATTTCTGTTTTCACCGGAAGAATGTTACACTTTAAAACGTTCAGAATGTCCCTTTAATTAATAAAGTTTTTTTTTTATTAAAGATAACATTTTTATAACATTCAAAAATTAAAAATCGAGAATAAAAGGTATAAAAAATTATATCTAAAAAATTAGAAAAAGGGAAAAAATGGATATAGAGAAATCAAATTTTTAAAATCATTTCTAGTAGATTCTAAATTGTATATTTCAACTGTAAAGCTTTATTTGTAAAAAGGTGTGATGTTAAGATTAAGATGTTAAAGATTTTAGAATAGTGTCATAAACAAAAAAATATCTTATTTGAAAAATTCATTAAAAAGAAGGGCCAATTTTTTTCTAAATTACGCTTAAAAATAATTTCTCTATTTTTTTTTCTTCACAAGTATATCAATTATAATTTAAGTATGAAAAGTGGATAATCAGAATCATACAAATGAAGAATGTAACAGATTTGCTCTGAGATCCCGTCAAAAATTAACTATTTTTTTATGTGTATATTGAATTATAATTGAATTGATTATTTTTTAATTGTAATGATAAAAGATTCTCTTTAAGCTTCTTTAATGTTAAATTTATATAAAGCATCTTTCTTTTTACTTTGCACTAGGACCTCAAAAATTTTTTACACGGTCTTACAGATGATATTATAATTGTGCATACGTCTTTTTTTATTTATTATTTTATACTTTTTTGAAGTATAAATATAAACCTATCTAATTTTATAAAAAAACATATATATATAGAAAAAAAGAGAAAGAAATAGAAAGAAAAAAAATATATTACATTGAATCGGAAAAAATATAGTTAAAAGATTTTTTTAAGTGTATTTTCTATTTTAAAATAAATGTATATACAAAAAACAAGGAAACTTA